TTGATAGCTTTTGTATGTAGCTCTATTTCTAAATCAAGAAAGGTAAACAATCCATTTGGGTTTTTGTAACAATCTTAATTTCAGATAATTAAGTAATAAAAACAGTTTTTTTTACTCTTGGCTACAAATCACAGACTGATGAATTCAAATTTGTTAAAAGATATTTTCATTTTCAAGACACTAACACTACTTGTGTTTGCTTTAGACTTTTAAAATGCCTGAATAAAAGTTTTGCGAGCGGGCCTATGCTCATTTTGTTACATTACTGATTGATTGACATTAATTACACCGGGAAACCTCATCCCAGTTACTAATTTTAATATATACAATCATATTGAAGAATTTGAGTTGTGTGTGAAGCATGTACTTTCAATATTTTATCAAAAACAGCTTTAAATTTTTTGCATGAATAGAGACTTCTAAATACAATAAGAGTTCAGTTTTCATTAAAATCACTGAATTTTCAAAAATTGCAAAAGGTTCAACTTTTTTTCAAAAGAACCTCTCCCACACTAATTTGTTCTTTAACCAAACTATTCATCAAATAACAGAATTAAACACTAAATGTACTGAAATTATGATGTACATTGAGAATTCTTTTAAATTCTGACAGCTTTTCATAGCTCATTGCATATATTTAGCAAATGTAAATTCCTGCATAATACTTCAGGGAAGCTCATTCTATAGTACACAGATCTAAAAAGAAGAAAAAAATTATTTGAATAATTAAAAAAAAAATGCCATCCACAAGATTCCTGCAAGACTCTCTTTATTGATCTTGGACCATTGCCTTGCCTATTTATTTACAAATCCTTAGTTTCGGTTGAAACTAACTTAACAGTGGGAACATATTTTCATGCAATACTGATATTTAGGGAGGGATTTTGATGACCTAAAACATTGGCAAAAATGGTTTTAAAATGCCCTAAAATACTATGTAAAAAATTTAATCAATTCCACAGATGAAAAACTCAAGCTGTTGGATATGTTACTGATGTAATCAAGGCTTCTTCCTTTTGTTCAAGTGAACTCAGTATGCAAACTTTTGGTTTGGACTATTCTTTAAAAGAAAAACTCCACCTTTATTACAAAATCAGCAAAAACAGACAATGGCTCTGATAGATGTTACAGGAATCTTGGATTACGTAGTACTCACAATAGCTGACATTACAATATATGAATGAAGAAATCAATAAGTCTACTCAGGAATTATGTAGTGATCATTTGTTGCACCACATAAATATTGCTTGAAGTATCATTAAAATCGATTAAAAATGATGTAAAAAGTTAAAAAAGGACTTCAAAATCGATGGAAAATGCAATACAATCACATATAAAAATGGGACATTTCCTTTTTGATATTAAAATAAAATTAATTTCTAAACTAAACAGCATTGTTCAATAGTGAAAAGAAAGAAAAAAATTTCATTCAAATCCGCTCTCTACTGATATTAATAATTACAACATACATTGCAGAAATCACATTTATCTGGTGTCCATATCAACAGAATACTACAAGAAAACCACATGTAATATGTGTGACATTAAACAATTGAAGTCAGTACACAAATTAAAGTCAAAAGTAAAATCTTTTCTGCTGCATAAGTGTCTCTGTACAATTAGATATCACACTGATCATTAAAAAGAAAAATGTTTTTTTAACAATATACAATGCATTAGTTTACATTAGCATTGTAAAATTTTAAAGAAAACTTAATAATCTTGTAACAAGTAATGTACTTCAGCATCTGGGACAATGACCGCAATCTCAATCTGATGATCCCTTGTTTGGCTTCAGGACATAAATGTAGCTTTACTATGGGCATGTAGTATTGAGCTGAGGGAGTGTGTTACTATTTTATTAGACAGACAAAAAACAAATATGCAGTTTACCGATTCAAATGTTTTCTGAAACTCGGGAGCTTTGGATGTCTAGTTTATCAAGTGTTGCTAACATTACACTTTTAAAAAATATTTTATTATTATTTTTTAAAATAATAAATAAAATCTTTAATGTATTATTTAAAAAAATTGTGTTATTTTTATTTTTTTACTTCTATTTACCTTTTAATTAATTATATTTAAAATGTTGGGAAAAGATACTGGAGGTCAAGAAAATGTGCGCAGATGGTTCTTCTGCATACGTCACATACAGTTATTACAGGTTGTTTTTTTATTTATTTTTTTAAATAAAATAAATCAAATCCATCAACATGAGCACTATTAAGAGATTTCATATGCTGATTTTTGAAAATGTTAGTTCAGAATTACATTAAGTTGACACAATCCATTCATTGATCACACTCACAATGTTATCAGGTTTATATTAAACACTCCTTTATAATCACTACTCATTTCCAAACACAATTCTTTTTAAAATTATTGTGTAATTTAAGAAGAGGGATTTCGATTGAAAATGACATATTCCTATATTATATTTAATTGCCATAGACCATCTCACAACAGAAACTTTATTTTCTTTAGTTTTAGTGTTATTATTTTGTTTAGTTCTTTCATGTTATGGTCCCATGTTTGTAAATTAAAAGAAATAAATCCTATCTACATTGCAAAATTATATTTATTTTTTATTGATTCATTTTGCCTTTGATACAGAACTGTGTAACTTAGCTAGGTCATGATTTAGGGACTTATGACTAGCAAGGGACTTATGAAAACATGAATGATTTGTGGTCAGGCGGAAGAGTAGGCTAAATGGCTTGAGCCAATAGAGACTTGTATGTTGGCTTCTCATGGAGGAAATTATGGGAGGGAAATATGAAAAGACAAACCAAGTTACAATGATTTAACTAGTAAATTACAGTCATTAAAATTAGGAAACAAATAAAATACTGTATGTATCACAGGCATTATCTGGTTCTAATGACTTTACGCAACAAAAAGTCCTTGAGCTGTTTGTCACTTCTTGATCATATGATAATCACATGATCCTTACGGTAATCCCTTGGTGCATAAATCTAACAAGATTTTCTCAGAAGAGGCTGCCCATAAACTATATAATGCACATTTGGAGTATTTTGAATATGCTCTTCCTCTCCTGTAACACACATGAACCTTCTTAAATTATTATTTAATGTTTGCAACAACACCCCCAAATTCACAATCAACTTACTTGGAAATAATAATATATACAACTTATTTTTAACGTCTGTAACAGTTACTGTATTTACCGGAATATAAGTCGACCTTGAATATAAGACAACCCCCTAATTTTAAAGATGCCTCCTGAGAATTTTAAAATTTTTTAACTAATTCTTACTATTTAGTCGAGATAAAATTATAAAATGGCTTATTGATTAGAAAATTGCTTTGTTGGTGAGAATATCAAGCGTTATTGCTGAACTATTATTTTCTTGACCCTTAATATAACCACGGTTTTTGTTACCTTTACATGTTTCGATTTTTCTTTCCTTTTTTGTCCTTCTTCCATGTAACAGCTGACATTTTAGGCCCCTCTTGAAAAGTTTTGCGGGCCAAAGTTTGCAATGTTCATAGTATTTCATCAAACGCCATCCAAGAACATTTCCTTCTGTCGCCTGCTTTTCTGTCCGTTCCGCATTTGTTGATGGCTTCCGATTCTATTCAAAATGCAGATTCTTATTCGCCCAGCTTTGAACAGAGATTCCATACAGCCTCACCAAACCGGTAACAAAGTCTCGGCACTCATTTACAAGTTACGTTTCATTCGATACAATGCAATTCGGTTAGCCTCTCTGCTTGCCTGTTCAAAAATATCTGTCTGAATTGACAAACGTGAATACAATTATAAATTGTTACGTGCAATATTTTCACAGCCTTCACTGGTTACGTTAACATGTACGAGTTATGTGATATGAAATGGCAATATATTTTGGAAGAAACCTCTTCATTAATTCAGGTATATACGGTAAGACCTGGGATTAGCTATGAGGAGAATTGAAATATTTGCATGGTTTCTGATTTATGCAGTAACGTATGCATGCAAACTGGTAACATAGAAATATTTTCAGTTTCAAAACACAAATTTTATGAAAGTATTTTGCTTTTCCTCACTTAGCACCTCAACATTTCCTGGTAAACTAACTTAGGTTTTGAACACTTAAAAAATAGCCACCAATTATAATTCAAATGTTTCGTATACAATCTACACATTTGGTAACCATGAAGGTTTTCACCTGTAGAAATTTGAGGTCATTACACCATATAAATAAGTACATTTCAGCACAAAATGGGCCCAACTACTTTTTTTTTTTTCCCCCGGTAACTTGAGTTTGTTTTAATCACGCTGCAAAATATTTTTCTCCAACAGTTTGTGGAGAACCCAATTATCGACATTCAAGAAAAAATTTTTAACATTTGTATTTGTTAAGAATTAGCGCAATAGTGCTCCATTTCATGCACACCTTGACCTTCTGCAGTATTCATTACTGCACTCAGTAATGTAACTACACGATTTAAGATAGGATGTTCTTTATCTAAATTCTGAATACCAAAATTTTTGTTTATTAAATAAAAACTTTATTGCAGTAATTTCAAAACGCAAATGGAATTAATTTTGCCAGTGAAGTGCAATCACACTGTAGACTAAAAGGCACTTTAGTCTTTATAATATAAATTTAGTTTAGTAATTTTCTCCATGGAGAGGGCACAAATCAACATAAGTGAAACAAAGACCATTTTTGCTAACCCAGCAGAGTGAAGTATCTTAAGAATGCTCTTGCATAATTTTTTCTCCCAAATTTTCATTTCTAGCTCCACAAACTTCCTCTACACGAGTGAGGCCTCTCCCCAAACATAACTTTTGTACAACACTAGAGGATTTTTTTTTTTATAAAACGTGTGCCACTAAAACAAATTTTAAAGTTTAAACTATTTTTTCTCAATAATTCAGGTACAGGCCACTATTTCACTGAACCTTTTATGTACTACTATTAAGAAATATAGGAGTACTAGTAATGAGAAGGAGATGGGATTCTCATGAGCATAGCTGTTAAGAAACAAAACAATTTCAAACTGGAAGGTTTATTAATACCTTACATACAATGCTTTCAGAACAATAATGTAGATGAATGAAAATTAACCATTGCTTTCATGTGAAAGAAGTTACATGTAATGTGAAATAGAACAGGACAAAAGGGTATGGATTAAGGAATTATGGAGTAGGATATGTAAGGTAAGTCGAGGGAAGAGAGACAGGGAGAGAGGCTGGGGGCAAGTCGAAGTTCCAATACAATTTACACAGCTACTGGACTGGTTTCATATCTCCACAAAAATTTACAAAACTAGTATATATTCTTATTGAAGGGGAGAGGTTTTCCAACATGCACAACTAAAGCCCTTGCGATAGGGCAGGAGGAAATATCAAGCACTTACACAATATGGATACTGCTACATCTGAACCAAGCACGCAGGTACAATACACACAACCACACTTTCACGCTCTTCAAATGCACAACAATCACAGGAAATACCTCCCCCCCTTTTCCAGGGATGTGCCCCCACAAGTAACACCCAACCACAAAACATGTAACAAAAGAACAAGAATATCACTTGCATCATTTTCTTCCATGTAATTTATTTTTCACAGAGTAATGCGTTGCCGTATTTTCTGGCACAAATTCCATCAAAGCAATTACAGAAGTTCTTTCTAGACTTCAAAATTAAGCTGAACCTGACAAATTTCAAAAACAAAGGGTCAACAAAACTATCTTAACGAAGTCCACTGGCCTGCAAATGCATCACACAAATCCAACAGGCACTACACAGGCACCTGGTCAACAAAAAATAAATGTACTGTGTAAACAGTTCACGAGAAAGTAAAAAAAGGGGGAAGGAAGACTGAACACACATTACAACCGTGCACCAAGGGCAAGGTTCTACAAGCATTTTTACATAATCCAATACAAGAAACTACGGCAACAAATGACCATTGCACATCCTTGCCAATTGTGCTGCAGGGAGGTTCTAATTTCCATGTCCTTGCAGGTGCACATTTGGAAACTTTTGATTACTGATAATAAAGAAAATAAAAGGCAATCAATTAATGCAGATTACATAAGCCATATTTTTCTATTAGATAGTTCCCATCTCAATTAAATGGAGATAAAGAAAAAAAAAAATAAGAAAATCAAACAACGAGCTGCCTGCATAGCCTATAATCTAACACACACAAACTTTTCCTACTAACCAATGTGAATGTGTTAAAACTATCCCCTCTGTGATATACAGCAAACGGACCCTTCATCACTCAAACTGGTAAAATCCCTTGGTCTGCACTGTGTTTAAAATGCTGATTGGATAGCAGCAGCAGTAGCAGGGAAATCAAATGTACCAAATCAAATTCAGTTCTCAACACCCACCCTGGACTGCCTGTTAGCAGAGCTCAAGTACAGTCCTCAAGCAGTTTGCGCTCACATCAAAAGAAAACAAGAGTAAAACAACATTTCACACAGAACAACATCCCCTAGTTTAATATAAATCATGCTTGTTTTTATGTAACTTTTCAAAATAAATCAATCGCATTTCAGAAACTTACTAAGAAATGTCATTAATACAACTGTCAACTAGCATGTTATCACTTTACCTACCATTAGATTCAAAACAGTTCTGGAAAGAAAAATAAGTTTCCCCACTTTTAAAATATTTTTAATCTTTAAAGCCTAAGAACAAAAACACAACAAGACAGGATATACTTTTTAAAAAAGGAGAAGCTCAATAAATGTAGACCAGCAAAACTCTAACAAGAAATGAGCATATTTTACACACTGAAAATAATTTTTACACTTGGCCCTAGGATCATCCCTACAACAGAAGATTTGTAACTCCCTTCAAGGCAATTTAACTACTGGCAGTCTTCCAGGTTGCCCTTGCTGTCCGTTTATAAGTTCAGCATCTGCCAGTGCTACACAGCCAAACAAAAACAACAAACATGACTGCACTCACATACGAAAAAGTCATATTCTCATATTAAATCATCGTTCCACTAAAAATGGCGAGTCTATTGGGTCCTGATGTGTATAGGTGTTAAGTCGCAACTATGACGGGGCAAATTTCACCGGAGATCCTATTCGCAGTCCTCCAGCCTTAACGATATGCCATCCGTTCACACGCTGTGTCCACACTTCACGACAACGGCAGAGAGAAAAATCACCACACCACAGCCGAATGCAGCAAATCTTGTGCAGTCCTCCAAGCTGTGGGGGTGCACGTTTGTTTCTCTTCATGTTCTTACACAAAAGAAAAAAATGGCACGTTTCCTGTTTCTCTTTATTTTTATGTCCATTTCTTTCATTTTCCGAAAAAATTTTTCATTTTCAGTTGCGCAAGTAAGAAAAGAATCAGCTGCCGATGGTACTTTCGAGAGTCGTCTTTTGATATCTTGCTTTTTTTTTCTTATTTGATCCCTAAATCACATCTACACTAGGCACAGCTGGTTCAAATCTTCTGGATTTTCTCCCCAACCACTACTGGATTGTTGCGACGGATCTCTTGAGCACCCATTTCCCGGTAGTCGAAGGTGCAGTCATGCTTGTCACTGTACCGATGCACCGCACAGAACAGCCCTCCACAGCGGCACTCAAAGCCTAAAACATTAAATACTTTTTAAAAATTATACAAACAAACTTATTTTTTCAAGATAAATGTAAATAAAATATTCAGACTTCATTTTTATGTATTTAAAACAATATTTTGTCAACTGCCTTCACTTCTACGAGATGAATCTACATACATCTTTGCAGAATACATGATTCTATGATAATACTGTTTACCCAGGTAATCCAAGGAGAAAAAGAATCATAAGCCACATTTCTCAGGTTAGATACCATTGACATACATTTCATACAATTAAATCAGAGCAAAGGAGAGAAATCGTGAAAAACTGCAACAAAACCAAGAAAGAACTTGGTAATAATAAAAAATGTATTAAACATTATAATACAACAATGCTTTGAATGTGATGCCACTGGAAGATGAAAACTAAATATTGTCTCATGACATTCTGGTATATAGCAGAAACCTCCTTAGAGGCAAGGAAGGAAAAACCTGGGAGAGTATAGAAAAAGCAGGGATAAAAATTAACAATTTTATTATCAATGGAACATGAATTGGCTTTCAACGAAGAAAATCATGAAATGATAATCCACAGAACAAAATTCTATTTTGTTCCAAGGGAAATAAAATGAATAAACAATGGAACAATGCATTTTCAAATTTTAAAATATGAAAGTGTCTAACAGGAAAAGAAATTGTGGTAGTAGCAGACATTAAACTCTTAGCAATTGGGGAAAAACAACCTTTAATATCCCCAATAACAAATATTATTCTATCTCATCTCAGGAAAGGAAATACATTTTTGAATATGTCTGGGATGTTTTTTTAATGATCAACCAATAGTGAACGAATGCAATAAAAAAATAAGTCTCTTACCACGAGACTTTTGAAGCTCAAATTGCTAAACAAGAAATTGACAAAGACAAAAATAGTCATTAGGAAGATTTTGAACCGCTGAATTTTTAATCATAAGGTAATTATAAGCCTCTTTTTATTCCACTAAGAATATGGGAAGCCCGAGGAAATTAATCATCGTATATACAATGCATGTGTCCGCACACTTCCAAAATGGAGTTATGGCATCGTCATATTTTTCACGGAGGGGGCTTGCACCCATTGATGTTTTGTATGGCCCTATCACAGCACAGGCCTACGTTGATGTTTTAAACACCTTGATTCACACTGTTGAAGAGCAATTCAGGGATGGGGACTGAAATTTTCAACACGATCAAGCACCTGGCACAGTCTGCAGCGGTTAGGTTACACAACAATAACATCCCTGTAATGGACTGGCCTGCACAGAGTCCTCTAATCCTATTGAACACCTTTGGGATAATTTGGAACTCCGACCGTGCCAGGTCCCTACCAACATACATCGATACCTCTCCTCAGTAAAGCACTCCATGATGTATGGGCTTCCATTCCCCACGAAACCTTCCTGCTGATTGAAAGTATGCCTGTGAAAGTGGAAGCTGTCATCAAAGGTAAAGGTGGGCCAACACCCTAATGTATTCCAACATTATCGAGGGAGGGCACTACAAACTGGTAAGTGATTTTCACCCATGTATCCGGATCATCAACCATGTGTACTATTGATCACAGTGTATATACACTAAAATGAATAGCGAGTACTGTAGTGAGAACAAACAAAACTTACTAAAAAACGTCCTTTTTCTTTTGGACAATACTCAAACAGGTCATAAAGAATCCAAAGCAACTTAAGATTTTAAATTGTCTGAAAAAATTGAGGAAGTCTTCTTAAAAAGAATTTAATTCCGTAAGAACCTAAATCGTGCACTACAAAAGACCTTCAAATCAGAATCTCTTAGTTTGGATTGGCAGACTTAAGACAGAAAGAATCACAACTCCCCCACCCACCCACACACAGACAAGAAATTCAATACAAAATTTTTAGAATGCAGAAGTTTAATACAAGAGAAGATGTGTATCGATTTAATACTAAAGAAGATTTGAACTTTCTTTAAAACAGGGCCAAAGTGATAATATACCCAAATTTAAGGTAAACAAATCTCCTAAACTTTAGAACCAGAGTGTTGTTTACAAAAGTCAAAAACACAAATAGATGAAATGTCAATAAAACAGTGTGGAGGAAGGGAACTTACCAATTATCTCACAGTCTCAAAATTGTTTTCTAAGATTCTCAGGAATAGGGTGAACAAATAACATTAACAATGCAAGGGAGAGTAATTTAATTGATGCTATTTTCACAACTCAGATCTTTCACAAAGAACTAAGTAAAATGACTAACCTTCTCATTTTCAAAGAAAGAGAGAACATACAAGATAAAAAGATGAGAAATATTGAAGAAATGGCACCAACTGAAACTATAAATAAAACTCAAAGCCTACATTCATAACAAACAGAAGTGTTAGAAAGGGATATGATTTCCCACAGCATAAAAAAAAAAAATGTTCATATGCTGTAATATACTATGCTTCACAAATTGTACAATAAAATTATGGAAAACGTGAAAAAATAACTCGATAAAAGGAGAAAGGTGCAAAGAGTTGTTAAAGACTATAGATGTTAATCTAGGGAACTGAAAATAATCTGCAAATCACAAACCAATTTTTAAGAGTCATGAATATCTCCCAAAACTATGACAATGGCAATTCCAGGACAAAAGAAAGAAGTCCTAATAAAGACGGAAATTATAGATCAGGAGTCCAGATTTAATTTAAGGAATACTATTCTACAAATCATGAAAAATTACTAAGCAAAAATACAAAAGAATGATGAAATTTGTGAAGAAATGCATTTAGAGAGAGAATACACAAGACCTGCTAATTCACAATTCACCAAAACTCATGATACTGTAGGACTGCTGCTAGTACTAAAAACTAATTCCAAAGTACGAAGTCACCTAAAGACTGGAAACTACTCAAATAAGATTTGTTAGTCACATAACTAGAATTACAAAAGTAGACTGAAAAAACATATGATCAGCTTGAAAGTAACTGAGACCAAGTATACTTTGTCTTACAAGGGAAAATTTTCAAAATAGTGATTAAGATATCAGAACTTTTTTTTCAGTTTCCACTTTGGGTTATTTGTTGACAGAGGTCTTTGAATATTATATGTATAGACTATACCAATAAATTGAAGAATTTGTATCTTTAAATCATTAAGTAAAGGAGTAAATTATATTTGCAAATTAATAATTCAGTCAAATTAGTATCTTAATCACAATTCAGTTTATCAATTAAAAGGAGTATTCTCTAATATAAAGTGAACTCTTCTCTTCTTTGGTATATTTCTATTGCTCCCACAGAAAAAATTTCTCATTTTAGAACAATGATTTAAGCAATTGCTGTATTGAAATTGAAGGAAAAGAAAGAAAAACTACAAACAAGAGGAAAGGAGACTAAATAAAAGAAAAATAGCAAAAACCTACCGTTTCCCAAATGTTATAATTAGTTTGAATCTTCATTTCAATGGGCACAAAAATCATAGAATCAAATACTAGATGCTTTAGAGTAAGTCTTAATTCAAATTAGGACTTCACTAGACAAGTAATAACAAACACATTTACATTTTTCTTCTCGGTAACTATTTTCAAAGGTGCCACAGATAAGAAATAAGATTGCTACGCATAAATAGCAAACTTCTACAGAATTATGTTTTTTTAAAAAACAACCTTTTATAAAATACATTTTTTTCCAGACATCTCTCATATTTTGTTCAATTTCTTTTTAAAATTTTTGTTATAATTACCAATTTGTTTGAAGTTATAAGTTTAGCCTTAATTTTCAAGAAAGAATTTTCAGCTAAATTTGAGTGTGATGAAGTGCAAAAACAGAACATATGTATGTTTTTGAAGATCAAAAATTATCTAACCACCAATAAAAGGGACTTAATGAAAACTGTAGAACAGTTCGTGTAATAAACATTCAATAAAAATATCTTATTTCAAAATTTGTTAAAAAATATTTTAACGCTTCCCAAGTATTTCATAAAATTATACCAGTGAGAAGTGAACATTAAAAGCTACCCTTTTAAATTAAAACGAAGCTAGGATTTTTAGGACTTCAATATAACTCTGAAAATTAATAATCTATTGGCCTTAAAATCATTTTAAAGATCAACAAAAAAGAAAATAAGACTTAGCAATTTGGTTTCTGTAATTTTTTGTATAAAGGAAACAAATGCAGCAATCTTCACTCCCATTGTAATATTTCTTTCAGTATTCTCACCTGTAAGTCCAACCTTCTTGCGGCATACAGCACATCTGTTCTTCTTCTTCTTGGCTTCTTTGTCCGAGTCTTTGTTCTCAAAACTCTCTTCAGCATCACCACTGCTCACAGAGTTTTCGGCACTGCTGCCACCCACTGCACCTTCTGCATCAGCAGTCTTCTGCAATAGAAATTTTTAATTTATGGTTTTCACAATTTCACAGAACTCCTATCCCAAACAAACTCCGTCAGCTAAGTCTCCTCATCACTTGTTGAACTAGAAATTAGCATCCAATTATTTGTAGTATATTTCCACAAGTAAATATATCTTCATACACCATTAGTTACATGCAAACATAAACTTTAAAGGAAACATTATCAAGAGACAATAGCCATTTCAAAACTACAAAATAAGTAGCAAGGTTTGTTTTTATTTTTTAAGAGTTATTCAAAAATTCACAGACCAATTTACAAATATATAAAATATAACCAATTAACCATTCCCAGGATAAGAGAACCCCTCATTATTACCCACAACAAATTTCAGGCCTGAACAATAACACTTCAACCTTTAAATATTCTTGAATGCACAAACCAATAGTGACACTGTACTTTTCCGGAGTGTTTTCGTTTTCTTCCAGGCAGTTGCCCAGTACTGGAAGATTCTTGGTCATTTAGAGTCATCCCTTCAGACAAGTTAGGATCTGCAACTGCTTGTACAGACCCCACAGGAACAACACAAGTGCTCTGAAAAATTATTGACTGAGCAAGCATTTCTATTGCCTCATAAGAATCTACATGTATGTCTGATTCATTTTGTGTGTTTCTTGATTTCGTACTGTCAGGTGATTCACTAACGCCACCTCTGCTTTCAAAGGGTGAAAATTCATTAGATTTACTTTCTAGAGCAGATATATCTTCGAACTCTCCCTCTTCTTGTCTGGCCAAGAGAACCTCCTGGCTTGGACTCTCCAATGAAATAGGAACTGCAGCAGAAATGGGAGGAGTTTCCTCAGGAACGTCAAGTTCAGGGTCCCGATCGTCGAGGGTACTCGTTTGTTCAGGTGTGTTCTGCATGTGAGAGGAATCTTCATCTCTGATTTCACCTTCATTTTCATTAACTTTGGGGATAGAATCAAAAATATCATCTGCTGCCTTCTCAGCACAGGATGTTCGGTCATCTGCACTAGATTTATAAGGTTTTTGTGGTCTACAACAGACTGTAATAACTCTTAGAGATGACTCTTCATTATTTGTGAGACTTGCTGAGTCACTTAAACCTACACCATATGTTGAATCTTCAACAAAAAACACTTCATTCCCCTCCACTGCTGATTCTTCAACACTTCCTGAGCTGCTACTCATTCCTGCAGATCCTTTTCTACTATCTGAGCACATCTTTCTCACAACATGACAGTGGCTCCCTCTTTCAGATATTGTCATGGAGAATGATGGTTGGATTTCATCCTCATCTTGGTCTGTATCAGAGTCCATTTTCACTTGTAAATTTTGCAACTGCTCAGCTTCAGCACTAATCACTGATTAGATTAACCAGTACATGGCTGACCACGTTGCTGAGGAAACACAACAGTCACCAACTGGCTGTAGAAATTTATCACTGTTGAATGCCAAACAGACAAAACAAACAAAATTATGAAGGACGCTTCCAGGAAGTCTTGCATTAGCATTAAGCATGCACAATAATAACAAAATGATTAACAAAGCTACAGACGTGGCTGTCTCCACCCAGCATGCGTTGAGTGTCCAAAAGGCCGCGAGGAACAGATGAAGCTCGAAAAGGCATTTTGCGGACTGGAAGGGTCGGCCCAGCTAGCGAGCGAACGTGCAAGCGCACTTCAGGCAAGACGCGACCAGGTGTCTTGGTTAAAGGGCGGGGAAAACCAAATCTGCTGCAAAGACATGATAGGCGGTTGAAGGCCCACAGACGAGCTTCTTTGTCTTTCACATGATTATACCTCCACTGGCTGACAAGCGCACAGCAACAAACCACACCAGTCGCCACATCATGTCTGCATCAGAACAAACAAAAGACTGTATTTTCTGAACACAAAGAGCATGATCCACTATTGCGAATTCAATAACGGATGGCAAATGCAACACTGCTTCATGCAAGCTGGAGTGCAGGGGAAATATGAAATTCAAGCACAATTAATTCAAATATAGATGCAAATAATTCCAACTAATGTTGAGAATATATGAAAATTAAGATTTAGTTAAGGTCCGAAAAAGGGGGGGAACGTTTGCCCAAATCGCAAACGCACAGGCAGGGAAGGACAGATAGGCAATTAGCGTGCAAGCAGAGAGAACGGATCAAGCTCACGTCTTTGACGGCGTCGACTATAGGCGCAGGAGAGGGCGCGGGCGGCGCGATCACGGGGCATGTGGGCTGCGCCGTATCTATTAGGCTGGCAGCCAACCCTGGGGCCGGACCCGCGCCCGCAGGACTCCCGCCGCCACCGCCGCCCGAACTCGCGCTGCCACCCGGCGGTTGCTGCTTTTTCTTCAGCGCCTCCTTGTAGCACAGCGAACACAGGCCGTCCGTTGCGGGCGAGCCATAGAAGCCGCAGCCCGAACGGCACAGAGCCTGCATTGGGTTAGACTCGCGCTCCATGGCGACTCCGCTGCTCCTACTGCGGACGAAGGCCTCTTGTTTCCTGCGCTGCCGCGCGCTTGCTGACAAGGGCGGCTCGCGACAAGGGACTGCGGTCGGCGGCGGCGGCGACTGCAACAACCGCTGCGTCCGTCGTCTCCGGCGATGTGCTGGCTCTACTGCTACTAGTAGCTACTTCTTGCGCGGAGCGGGACAGGCAGCGACGCTTGCGAGCAAACTCCCAGTGTCAAGTGCCCTGTCAGGACTGGGTCACCTGCAACAACAGACAAGCGAGTGCTATGACGCAAGGCGCAATGGGAAGAGCGGCAGCGGGGAAAGCGGGACGGAGTCAGGCGGGGAGAGACCGGGGCGCTCTCCAAAACTGCCTCCCCCATCGCACGCACACGAGGTACCGGGCGCGCGGAATTCTCACGCACCGTAGCTCCCTTTGTGTGGAATGCGGGTTTGGGTCGGTGGCAGTAGCGGCATATCAGGCCGTATTTTACGAAAATTTGGAGAAACTTGTGAGGAGCCCGCGCGTTCGAGAAGTTATCGTCTCGAAACGCTCTTAAATTACAAGCAGCATAGAACGCTTTGAAAGACTACGTTCCGGACGAAGCACAAAGAAGTTGGCGCTCGGCGGACGGGCAGTCTCGCCGCACCGTTGCCACCTACCGTGGAAGACTCCGTTACAACGACGCCCCGCTGTACTGTGACTGCGGCTGCGTCTCACCGCCCTCCAGCCAAACCGACCGACGACTACTTCTAACGCGAGCGCTGGACTGAATGCCCACGTCGCGGCCTCCGCCGCTGCCTTCGCCAGCTCCGCCGTCGCGCACAAAGCCCGGTGCGTCATTGACTGACGAAGCAAAAGTCCTAGCTCCCCCTCTCCCGGGGCCCGCAGCTCACGCTTGCCAACTACGTACTAGCGGCTGGCTTTTTGTTTGCTATGCCGCTCCTCTCTTCACTTTTCTCACAGACCACAGACGGCACCCTACACAGATCACAACCAAACGACGGTGACTTTTCCAATTCATTGTTTAAAACACTTGAAACAAGGAAGGTTACGACACGTATGGCACATCGGGAGACGATGTTGGCACCAAGTGCACGACCTTGCGTCGCTCGCCAACCGCAATTCTTGCTTCTTCCGGGCGTCTGCCGAATTTTATTTTCCTGGATACGTCTTCGGCGCGAAGCTTTACCGACAGAACGAACTACACATGAACGCTACACTTCTCAGTGTACGTGGCGATGCCTACCGCAATTAACCACGTTCTTCTTAATACGAACAATCTCACGGTTGATACAAGGGGGAATGGCTAGGCTAGGTCTGTCAAGAAAAAAAAAGCTGTAATTTAAAGATGGCATATATCGTTTGGTGAAGTAAAAGTGCTTATTAACGATGCTAATCGGCCGCAGTATCGACACGCAAGTTACTGCAATGTTGGCTAGCCTGCGCGACAGCCGCGCGTGCCGTGGCCGGGAAGGGAACAGCTGATAAAGTTCCACGCGTCGTCTCCGGGGCGGTTGTGGCGGACGCGCGGGGGTCTGCGGACAAAGGGCCGCCGCCGCCGACCTTGGCGCGGCAGGCGATCAGCTGGCGGGGCGGCGGGCGGCGGCGGCGGCGGCGAAGCGGGGCCGCAGGGGCACCTGCTCCCCCGTCTGTGTCAGCTTGCAATACCACTGTTGCCGACTCTGCTCGTTTTCTCCAGTCGCAATGCAGAAACGCACAAGTGACGTTCTGGTGATTCGGTGGAACTGCCGGAACGCGTTAGTGACGTCACGCCACGGCGAGTGATTTCCGTTGTTCCCGGAGACCAGAAGCGAGTGACGAATCGGTTGGCGCACTACGCATGCGTAAGTGACTTCACTACTATCTCCTATTATATCTCGTAAGCTTGAAAACAAAATAAAACTGCGATACCAGCAATATTATTTTAGTTATTAGTAAAGTGAGAACTCATTCAACGTTTGTATCTGTAACGTAATATAAAATTGTGAAGTCCCTTGACTAACAAAAGTGGGGTTGACTAATAAGGTTGGTGGGCGGAAAAACTTTTTGCCACCCCCCCACCGACTTGGCGAAGGGCTGGGGCTGAACACGATTACTGGACTTTTTGTAATCTTTATGTTGACTAAGTTATTAAAACGTGCAAAAAATTGTACAATTGAGTTTTTGAATATTATTTTTTTCTTCTGTTTCTACTTAACTTTTAACGCATCATAAATGGCCTGTAATTTTCTTCCCGAATTTCTGAAACTTACATCTACACGCACAGGGCCGGGAGCTTGCAAGCAGGTATCACAAACCGATCATGACGTTTACTCTAACGTTTCGACAGAATTCGCGCGTGCAAACAACCGACGTAAACGAGGTCACGCCGGGAGGCCCCGGGAAGACCGCGGCGTCACGCGGGGCGCACACGCGACCTCCGCATCTGCTTCCACGTCAACCTCAACATTACGCCAAACCGCAATGGGAATCATACGATGTATACGGGATTGGACAACAATGCCAACGAATTGAAATTATACCATTTTGTAATTTGATTGAAGATAATGTACATTAACGTAGTCTCTTAAAATAAACGAGAAAAATAAATTAAGTGAGGAATTACAACTTCCCTCTAAAATGAGCCACAACAGATGTATGTATGAAAGTAAATACGAAAAGAGCATATTGAATGTATCAGGTAACTCACGGCGCATAAATTTCGCCTTAATTTTGATATAACCTCATACGAGATTTATCCAGATAATTGGAAAATTTTACAATAGATCAAAAGCACACATCTTCGCCGCTCTCTGGGGTTTGAACAATAACGGCTCTGAACGCCAGTCCCATTAACTTTAAGTTACATACGATCGGGATCTATAATCAAGATATTTTACATGATGAATTAATTATACCCAACCAAAGTTACAAGCACGTTTCAAACCATTTCAGAAATTTTCTGGTGGGAACTTGAGTCATTAGAATTGAATTAATTTCCAAGTTTACGAAACTCCATTTCAGTTTGTTTTCTAGTTTCACATATCAAACTATTTCACACACTTCTCAATCGTGATGCCAAATAGTGTGTTAAAAAATTGCCTTATAAACAGTGTCAAACACTATTCCAATCTTTTACTATTAGGCTACATTTGAATACCTTTCCTTCCTGATAAATTTCTTTTACGAGATACAAAATTTCTTACTGCCGATTCTAGGTGCATACATCCACAACTCGAAATTCTGTTTCTATTTCAATTAATCATGCCACGAAACAATTACGATATTGCTTTCGAGGTAGCTAATCGGAGCTCTCGAAATGCATTCCCCTGTCGATCGTCCAGCTCCACTTCCGCAGCAGTAACAATCGCGCGGCCGACGCAGCGCCGCAGAAAAGCCACAACGGCGGCCGCATCCGCCCGGGGAAGGCTACGTCACAGGCGCGCCCCACTCGGCCGAAGCGCGCAGGCGCCATCGTACCAGCGTCGCCGCACTCCTCCGCGCGCCCTTTCCTTCCGTTGCGTCAGCCACCGATGGCCCAAGCAGAGGCGCAGCCTACGCGGGACCGATCTCCTTCCTCGCGTACTCCCGGGAAGCGCACATTTCCGGAAGAACTGGGAAATCCTAGTGATGGCTTAGGCCAGTCGTATTCACTCAGCAACATTACAACCAATTCGCAGCAGAATCAGTTCTCTAGTCACAGTTACACAATGAAGATAATTTCTTGAAGGGCATAAACGATGCTTCCACTTCCTAGGCGGCGATACCGGCAATATTACTCAAAAACTATTTAGAGATGTATTAATACACTTCAAACGGCATCACGCTTATTGATTGGGAGAAAGGCTTTACTGGATTTCTAATAATAAATCTCGGCATTCGTATTTCAACTTAATCTTTGCAGCCCGTCCTACATCTACATCATTTATGTATTTTTTCTCATCTTAAAAATTAGATTGTTAATACTGCCCTATACTTTTGATGAAACCACAATTATTTCTAAAAGGTGTAAAAAGATTTTCTGAAACTGTTCCAATTATTTTGTATGAATGCACTGTCCGCACAATAATTTAAGTTATTATGCATATGTCTCATTTTCATTAAAACCTGAAATTTCGATAATAGCAACACAAAATTCAACTTCTGTTCATTTTCTTCAATAACTAACTCTAGTATGTTTGTTCAAATTTCAATAAAATTTAATCTAGCGAGATGTGGTTAACAATGATGCAGAACTGATAAGCACGCAAATAGAACGCAAAATGACGTACGTCAACTGTAGCGACTAGCGTGGTGGCAACTTTCGTCTATCCTCAACGCGCTGTGACGTGGCAGCAGAGCCAGGTTAAGGTGGCACACAGCCCTGGACGAAATCCAAATTAGAAGGAGCTGCTTCCCGAAAATACGACTAGGGCGCCAGGAACTAGACTGTTTACAAAAACAAGCCGAGTTCAGGGCGACGTTGTCTAGAAATTGAGAACTTTCAGAACTCCATCGACTTCCCCGATTCATAAATAACCACAATCTCACCGCACTTTAAGCATTTGTGGCAAAAAAGATGGTTCTTCCTGGCACGACTAGTTCATCTTCTGGACTTCGACTTAAATCTTGAAAATTCATTCGAAGAACAAGTGTACTGTTCGGGCGTTTAGATGCTTCAAGGCACAATATGAACATTGCGAGACTAATAGATGCCCTTCGATACCCATACACGGGGAACTTTAAAAGGGTCGCAGACGACCATAAAGGCTGACGCAGGCGGCGACGCGGAAGCGACCTCGCGGCTGCGCGGCAGTTGTCGCTGCCATCGCCACCGTCTCAAGAGTGAGACCACTGCGCGTGCGCTACTCCCGAGGCCAAGCGCCTTGGTGGCCCCAGGGCGCTGCGCTGTGACGTACTAACAATGCTTCCAGACGATGAACGTACAAAGACAATAAGGAGATAAAGATACCTTATGAACTACCAACATCAACGATCAATCTAGTCACACAAAAACGCATTACAACACGAAAGAGTAATTCTCTGTACGAATTTACAGATAAATTGTGATGAACCTGAGGTGTGTTTAATTTTCAAAGACTGGGTAGAGTTGATCCGAGCCAAGAGGGAATGGGGGAAATCTTTCCGATAATGACGAGGAAAAATACCATTTTCTATAATCAAGATAAGAGGGAGAACTATACAGCGATATAGTATGCGGAATGAGCAGATATTCTAAAATAATTGGGAAATATTGTTGGCGTGAGGCCGAGATAAAGTACAAAGAGACTCCGAAATTCCGGAAGTGGCCGCCCCGAGTTAATTTCGCCCCGCCAGTCTAATGGAGGCGGCAGTGACCTCGTGATATCCAAAACTGGCGTGGCAGGTTCGGTCACGTGTAGGGTTGAGGCTGACCGGGTTGCACCACGTCGAAGACCTTCGCTATGTCAAGCAAATCCCACCGTTTCTGGAGGGAATCGTAACCCAGGTAGAATATTATCCCGTCACCTGACGGCAGGCGCATGTCCATAAGGACACAATTAATACATTCACTTTTTTACTTCTTTTCTAAACATTGAAATTAACTAGGTGCTACAACAGCAAATTTTCACTAAGAAATTTAACATCCAGAAATGATGGCCATTCAATATATCGAATTATGAATGCATTCAAAACTTCGATATTATAACTACCTTAAGCATATCTGTATACATATATACTCTTCACGACTTAAATTAAACGCATCATTTAATTGAAGGTAGAGAACACTAACATTAACGTTAACTAAATAAAGCTGCCTTATCTCTATCATGTCGCCGTTCAACAATGAACTTCTAAAATATCTATCGCTGCATTGTACGGCTACAATACAATGTACAAACGGATCAATTATCGTAATACATAATCTTACAAAATTATGGTACCATAATTTAATTTTTCTTTCTTATGACATGTAAATCATTTTAAAGAATGAAAACCTAATTGGACTAATCTCAACCAAGGTCATTATTGACCTCAAGCGAAGCAGAGGGAATTCGAATTCACTATTTCGAAAATTGAGAGCGCCGAAAATGTAATCAGCACTGATTTCTTTACCGTTCCTTGCTACATTCGTGGAAAAAAGGAAAAAAATTGAAGAACATTTGGAGCGGTTTCTCAGAAAACACCGTTTGAAAATTGCCTGACGACTAATTACCCCCCCCAAAAAAGGGGAAAAAATCGAACATGACCTTATTTAAAGAGGTTTTTGATTAACGCATTTCATTAAAAAACTGTTTTCTTCATAATTGCAGAAAATGGCAAAAAGTTTGAACTTAACGGAATTTTCTAAAAGTTGGGAGTTGCAAAGAAAAATGACACCTGTATTATTCTCTTAATGTCCTTTTCGCTGTCCAAGGTCAAACTTTATTAAAAGAAATCTGCAGTTTTTGATTGTTGGCTTCATTTCACGCAAAATTACTCGCAAAGTACAGATATCATTAAAACTATCTCAAGTTTTTGTAGTAGGAAGACACCGAAAAAATCCTTTGCAATAAAAAGGATTTCAATAAAAATGAGAACTGCACTATTCTCTTACGCGGCCTTTACGCCATACAGCCAGCCAGATCGATTGCGGAATTTCAATTTTGGAGAAAATCGGCTGAACGGTTTCGACGCTAGCGTGACCACAGACGGACAAACAAAATGGTTTGCCCCCAATTGATTTTTCCGTACGAAGGGCCCACAAAAC